AAGATTAGGCTTAGACATCTTCGTTGGCAGCTTCACTGTGTCCACGGAGATGAAACGACAAGTGCCACTGAAGCATATCCCCAAAGCGCAATCCTTTCTTAAGACCGTGCGTTATACTGTAAACTAAGATAAACCTCCCTCTTTGTTGCCTGTAATACAGAGGGAATAAGTTTAGGCATTCCAGTCTTTCTATGTAGGAGTGTTTTTACAGTCACATCAAGCCAGACAAGTCTCCTGAAACAGATGGGATCCCTGGGCTGATACTCAAAGAACTATCGACAGAATTATCGTTGCCTCTTTCATCTCTGTTCGAGCTGTCCATGAGAACAGGGAACTTGCCTTTGCAGTGGAAGACGGCCAACAACCTACCTTTATATAAGTTAGGTTGCAAGATGGCAGCAAACAGCTTTAGTCATATAAGCCTGACTTGCCTTTCCTGCAAAACCATGGAGGTGCTTGTCAAGCAGATAGTACTAAGATTTTGCGATGAAAATGAGGTCATAGGCTAGGAAAATCGTGGGTGACCATTCTAGTTTTTTGTTGCTGACTGGGCTAGCAGTAGTTTGTTTGTCTTTTGGAGATTTCACCTCAAGTGTATTATTATGGATGACGTGTGCAGGAGCCGTTTCCTTGAGCTGAGCTTTACATACACTTCTTGTTTTGAAAATGGAACTTGTCGGCTTGCTCAATGCCTTCATAGTCCTCACACTATTAAAAGGACTATGACATTTTTGCCGCATGTTGACATCGTAGCCGATTCCCGCCTGTGTTAAATTTTCACTTTTGTTTTACAGGTCAAAAAAGAAACTCGGCGAATACGGCGATTTGAGTCGATTCTTCTCTTAAACTACGAAAAGTACACCCTGCTCTTGCAAACTATTCTGAAAGGTAGGTCTTGGTTTCAGCATTCCTTAAGCATGCACTTTTAGACAAAGGCAGGCGTAAGTTACCCAGAAGTCTGCGACCCTATGGTGAAACAAATTGGAACAAGGTAGCTCCTTTTGATTTTATCATTTCACCTCTCCTTTAGGTCGAGCGCCTATCGGCTCTGAAATGTGCCTGTCAGTTGTTTGAGAACAACCCTACATTCAATCACTCGGAAGATTTACTGCAAGCCATTCTGCCCCACTTGCTGGATCGACGTGCCAGTGTACGTTGGTACTTAATTCCTCTTCTAACCCGCACTGCCTTTAGGTTAGGGAGATTATCAGCCGCACACTGAAGTCTATTTTCAACACTGATACCTCAGGGGAGTCCACGCTACTGGTAAACTGATAAGCAATATTGATCGAAATGTG